ATAGGTTTGGCTGTGTCAAACATATCGAGTGGTGAAGAAGGCAACCAAATGACGGTGTGTTGACCGGTCAGAGACATACGAAGTTATATATTTCGGGGCGAGTAATATGGGGAAGCTACTTCGCAGAAAGCGCCAGATGAGCCCGTAAGTCAAAGGGGCCACGCGAGAATCGTTAAATTTTGAAAAGGATCGTTATGGGGGTGCTTCTGACGGTCGTTCAGAGTATACCAACTCAAAGCTACGGCGCTAATAGCAGAGGTGATACAGAACAGGCAAGATATCTTCGTAGTGTTGGGCGTGGGTTGCTCACTGGTCCGTGAAAAACAAAAGTAGACACAGGGGTCGGGACCTAGCAACGCGTTTCTATTTCTTTACTGTTCGAATTGCGCTACTAGGAAATTTCATGCTATTCTTCTCTAAAATGACAATAACATGGCTCTCCCACCAGCAGGGGTTACATTTCAAAGATGTGTGGTTGGGCCTACCTGATAATTAACATCTATATTAAATCCTTTATTAAGGATAGCCCAAGGCATCTGTATACCATTTCGCCAAGTAATAATGTAGGACAATTCCACGTGCTATGAGGAGCTCCATGAAGGGCAGTCTCACGATACTGGGGGCTTGCATACTTAGTGCATCAATCTACAGGCAAGTAGCCCAACATACGGCTAAACCGTGGCCCCGACCGCAAAAATCCGTTTTTGCGGTCAGGGCCACGGTTTAGCCGTATGATCAAGGTACCTGCATTTACCCTCACCCCCTGGTTCATGCAACAGATATGCAGCACTACTGTCTCGTCCTCCACAGCAGTTGCCTTCTTTCCAGTGATGGGGGATAATGAGTTATACTCCGGAGCTCGTGAATAGGTTCATGGTCAACGACAAACCCAAAACATAAAGACCCCGTATATCTTCGAAATTTACATTAGAGCGGATTATTATTACCTAGCTTAACTCAAAGTGTATAGGAACGCCTTCGCCTACTTGAAAGACACTCTCATGGGTGGGCTCTTGTTTGAAGTGAAGGTATACATAATTGGCACTACGCATGTAAGTTCACCAAATGCCTTGGTGACGCGGCCGCTCGTACGAAAAAAAAAGTTGGGATAGCCAACAATTAGGCCCGGTATTGTGTGGCAAGTATCGTATCCCGGGCCGACCTTCTGAAGGCGTTTTCGGAGTAGTCTTTCCTGGCTCCTCGTCTCCTGAACTGGCTTCAATGTCATATTGATTGGACCAGGCGTGACTAGAAACAGTGCGGTTTGTTGGTTGTGCTTCGCACACTGCTTTATCTCGTCAATTCACTAGTTACATTCAAAGAGGACTGTAAGGATGACAAGCGCCGCATTGTATTTCTCTTGATCGAGATAATGTGTAGCGGCTGGAGAGACATGTTGGATTCAAGAAGGCACCGAAATGGCGGTATACTAATCGGTGGGTGGCTTATATAGCTCCAGGTCCGGGTACGGTCCATGATGCATGACACGGTCGAAGCGATTGCATATCCAACATCTGACTACAGGTCGTCATCGGAAATCGTCACAGGTGATAATCTTTTATTGCCGTGCCGAGCAAGGACCAAACACAGGGATCGATGAAACTATCCATTGATGAGCAGTAGCATAACTTTGAGCCAGCCGCCTCGGCTTATGCTCCTAGTGGTATTGACGCAGCCTTGATATCTTGATGTAGAGCGCTTCCAGGTCCCATACATCGAAGCAATCCATCCAACGAGACCAGCATGGATGTTGGGTTCCGATCCCCACCCACGCTGGGATTCTCTGGTCGAAAATGACATATCTTGAGTCGGAATGCCAGGTTGGGAGGCAGGAGGACTCACTTTTGATCCCGTATACGACGATCAGTAGTGCCAGTGCTGCTTCGTCGCACACCAGCCGCCAGTCTGCGAGTCTATCAAGGGTCAAGACCACAGCGTGGTTTCAGGCATGCTCTGGCGCGGGGCGTAGCTGATGGACAGTCTACAGGATCCCTGCTCCACTGGGCAATCGGAGTGCTGGTCCGGCAAGGAGTGTCCTGGCAACAATACTGTGAGGAAGACACTCCTTCCGGTTCCCTTGTTTGTAAAGCCGCTCTTGGCAACATACTGTTGCCAAGAGCGGCTTTACCCCGGGCTAGCATGTCTGTACGATCGCAGGATCATATCGCACTACACCATATATAGCTTAGATAATCCTTTTCGACCCACATGTTAGTTGGAGGGAGCATGACCGCGCCTCAGAAGCAGAACATGTATGAATACTACAGCGACAAGTTTCTACTGCCTTCGTGCTATCTGTATACATAGCAATCGGGCCCAGGAATTTGGGAAGGAGGGTAAGGTTCCGGGACCCTCCTCGAGCGGGAGGACTTGCTTTTGATCCCGTATATGACCAAATCAGATCAATAGCCTGTCCGTGCCGCGTTGTCGCACACCAGCGGGCAATAATATGCTGCGTGCGCCCTGTGAGGAAGTCTATCAGGGGTCAAGACCAATGTACCGGCGTTACAGATCGAACCATTCTGGAAATCTGAATAGGAGGTCGACATTGGAGTACAAGCGCAAGCAATCACAGTGTGATTGCGCAGGGGTGGGAGTCGGAACGAGACCTGGGGTCCCATTCTAAGCTCTCATGTTAGGTGTTCCATATCGTGTGTTTGATATCTTATGTAATAGTGAAGGATACTCACGCATGGATTGTACCAAAAATATTCGTTACCTTTAGACCTGTCTAAGCATCCCTCATCTACTCGTCAAAATCACTAGCAAGACTTCGCAACACGATATGAGCTCCCGTGGCTCAATCGATGATGGCTGTGGTGGCGAGGATGCTTCTACTCCACTCCTCCCTCGATTGCTCCCGGCTTTGGGGGGTCATGGAAGTCGAGGTCCCAGCATTCGACTCTCGTCTGCACCGCCCAAGAGGATAGGAAACTCTATGGCGTGCGGCCCCTGTAAAGCCAGGAAGTTGCGGGTATGTTTCCATCGAGCTTTGACGACGGACGCCTCTAATATGTGAGGCGGGTGCTAGTGCGATGGAATTCGGCCAGTGTGTACAAGATGCCAGAAGAAGAACACCGGTTGTCAGTATGAGTTGCGAGCCGGTGTTTCTCGTCAAGTCGCCTTGAAGAACTTTAAAGATGATCTGAAGCGTGAGAACGCCGACTTGAGAGAGCTTGTATTACTCCTGAAGACGAAGAGTGAAGATGAAGCAAAAGCAATACTCAATATGATCAGATCCCACGACGATCCTGTCAGCGTTATCGAGAAGCTTCGACAACATAAACTGCCTCTCGCTTGGTCCGACACGCCGAGCCAGGACTCTGATAAGGCTGACGAGAAAGTCATCAAGAGTGCGACCCAGGTCCCTGCCCAGCCGTGGACAAGTGTGGCGACCGACGAAGTGGTCTCGGAGCTGATCACTGCCTGGTTCGCTTGGGAAGACACGACACTGTTTTCGTATATCACACTAGATCTTTTCGTAGCAGACATGAAAGCAAGCGATCCAGAGCGTGCGACATTTTGCTCTCCGTTCCTCGTCAACGCCATCTGTGCTGCCAAAGCCATCAGTTGCATCGCACGAGCTCATAGAATGAGAAGTGTCCACAAGGCCTTCAAGTCCATGGACAAGCCTGCCGCAGACGCAACGTCTGAAAGCACATGGGAGCTAAGCGAACGATTCCTCGCCGCTGCGAAGGAGCACTTGGAGCTTCAGTGCGGACGGGCTTCGCTTCCTACCATCCACGGACTGTATTGCCTTTTTCAGCACGCATCTATCTCAGGAGTAGATCGGGCAGGCTCGTTCTATCGACTTGCTGCGATCGACATGTTAAGCCGTCTCAACCTCACAAAGGTATACAGAAGCTTAAGAGACGACGTACCATCACATTTCAGGCGAAAGCAGGCTATATCACGAACCCTGTGGGCAGTCTGTAATGTCGAAAGGTATGTCAAAGCTACTATGCCGTACCCGATCCATCACAATAAATATGTTGTTACGGTTTCTGGTATTGAAGACATGTTAACATCATTCCGAAATAGTCTTGCTGCATCGCTGTACCTGAAGCCCACCCTATTTCCGGCACCACCAATTCCTCCCTACTTTCGAGAGCCTCCTCTTACATCTTCAAAAACGGAGGTCGAGGAATTTGACTTCCTGGGCTCCCCATTTTCTCCCAAGAGTTCACAACCGCCCGTGGTACGAGGCGCACAATATGCACTATGCGAGGTCTCAATCATCATGAATGAGGTCGTATGCTACAACCACACCACCCGCGAGTGCCCAAGTGGTGATGCTGTAGATATCGACATCCGTAAGGATCTCTACCGCCGGCTCACAGATCTTGAAAGGTCCTGGCTAAGCTGGCTCAGACACGACGCTGAAGTCACCCCGCAAACTTTCGTCTTGGGGTAAGCGAGCACCTGCATTACTACAACAGCCTATTAACATTCCCTAGCTTCTTTGTGAACATCGTCGCCTACAACATCCTCCGTCCGTTATACAACGTCCACCCTGATACAGGCTTCGAACCCTCACTGCCTCCAGGCTCGATGAGAGGCCCGCTAGGGTACGGGTCCACAGCACAGTCGTTCATCCTCAAACATGCCGCCATCGACGTCAAACTAATGGAGACGCTCGAGAAGCGCTGGCCATACAACATCCACCCCTTCACATCTTTTTTCCTCGCCGCACCGTACAACTGCGCCGCGACTCTGATCTCCCTCCTTCACATCCCCGTTGCACAGAATCTTTTCACCCGAGCCGTCTGCAATCTCCGCCTGCTCAAATCAGGTCTAACTTGTGTCAAGTTAATCCTCGGCGGCCTGCTGGTCGTAGCACAGTCCGTCGGCCAGCAAATCCCATCCGAAGCACAGGGCACCTTCGACGGCGTGGAGGAAGCTTGCAGGCTGGAGAGCAAAGACATTGCTGTGTCGTTCCGCGCTCCTCAGGACGAAGCGTTGGTCAAGTTGTTGGCTATCAGCGAGAGTGAGAATCTTGACATGGTTGGCGAGGTAGAAAACATGGGGATGCATGCTATCGCTGTATAAGAGCGTGAGCCTGAAGGGGAGGGATGGTGCGAAATGATGTGATACACCCGGCTTTATAGTCCTGGAATCTGGGAGAGCTGGAAGATTTGCTTTGCTTAACACTCACACAGATAAAATTTCGGACTGCGTGTTGGCCTAACGAAATGAGATATGCCTATTAAATTATGAAATTCATGCTTGAGAATCCTGATGGAGATATGCGCCGTGCAGGCTGTGACTCTGGTCGTTCTCAGGGGCTGCAGTACAGCACGTGACGAACAGCCAGTTCTCGACTTTGCCAGACGCTTGCGCGCTCTCCTCCACCTACTTTCATGACCTTCTCCCTCCTACCACACCATACCGACGTAAGATGCCTGGTCGACCAGTAAGTGCTCCTGTGTTCAATCGAAAACATAAACAAGCCGCATATGCCGGTTATAGAGCGCCTAAGAAATATAAGTCGTGGGAGCCATGCAACCATAGCGGCGCCTGCACCAGCTGCGTGTGCGCTATAAACAAGACGACATGCGAAGCCTCTTGTCGCTGCGCTGGGAACTGTCCTCGCCAGAGGGGGGGATGCAAGTGCGAGGGCGAATGCGTGTGGGAGGCCTGCTCGTGCTCGTCCGACTCATCGCAATGCACAACAGCATGTGCATGCGACGGAAGATGTGCGATCTTCCACCCAATGCCGTACATACTCTTTGTCGGGCTATCTAAACACGGGTTCGGATGCTTCGCTCTCCAGCCGGTTCCTGCTGGTACGATTCTTGCCGAATACGAGGGCTACCTTCGCCCGATCAGCGACGAGCCAGGGACGGTCACCCTGCTAGAAATGAGTACATGTATAGTCTACACCTTTGGAGGCTCGATTAATGAGACTGATCTGATCTGGTAGCACATTGCATTCAGGGCGTTTCAGGGACTCCTGCGTTTCACATGAATCACAGCACGAAGCCTAATGCCTCTTTCTTGCAATGTAGAGCTAATTCCCGCCAATGGATACCAGTTATACAAACGAAGAAGCGCATGTCGCTGGGGGATGAAGTGCGACTTACCTATTCGTGAGCTGCCTATCTTCTTCTTTACTCTTAGTGCTTACTAGGCCCTAGATGTGGGAATCTTGTTTTCGAACCGCAGCCAGAGTTTGCGACAAGGCCGCCGACTGGAGTGTACTGTCAGCGCAATCAGACCGAGCTACGCGGCGGCGATATCATTCCAGTCAAGCTGCCGGCGTTGGGTGGCCTCTGGTATGGGCAGGTGTCTGGGTTCAGTGTGTTAAGCACGTCCGAACGCACCGCATCGGCGTCGGATTTTGTTGAAGTGCGATGGCTCTACGCGAAGGACGATCTCCCGGAGACTCTAATCGGGCGTCCCGCAACCACGTGTGGCACAATATTCGGGTAAAGTGACAGTACGCCAGAAGCGGAGTAGACAGGGCTCTAACCCACTCAAGAGGCAGCCGACCGCGAAGAGAGCAAGGCAGGCCAGCACCAAGAAGAGCGTATCTGAGCCTCTGGAAACATCCGAAGCAGCTTATGCGTGCGCTGACTCGGATACCGTCGCAGTAGCACGTCTAAAGCGAAGTAGACCGGATGCAGACTCACTCGAGAAGGAGCTGACGGCGAAGAGAGCAAGGAGGACGCCGAGGCCGCGAGATTAGAGAGCCGAGAGCTTAACGGAGATTTGCATGAATTTGGCTGTCATGGACTGACTAATCAATAACGGAACGGGTCGTGCCATTTTGCGCCACCCCGCAATCGCCAGCCTTAACTTTTTTAAATATTAATGTCAATTAAGAGAAATAGTTTTCATCTTGAACAGTGGACTCTCGAGCTGCTCAATAGCGTTAGGGTTTCAGGCCCTACCGCGAGTGTCGAAACTTGTAATTAATGAAATGGTTACATCTAAAAGCGTCGACCGGTGCTTAGGATAGCGGTGGGGCTATATCGAACCCGGCGTCGATTCCCATGACAGTTCTCGTGATCTACGATAGTCTTTGAAGTTAGTAAATACAAGAAGCGTGAATCTATTAGTCTAACGCATCTGGATTGGTAGGATAAGGTGACTCCTGGGATACCAGCGGATTGTAGACTCTTAGACGAGCGTACATTCCGTGGCTGCGAGCCGCATTCGTTTGGTTTCATGTCTGCCTATGATGCGCAAACTCCGGCTTATTAGAGGATGGAGTAGGATAAATGACCCTACCACGGACGGAGACGATTGAGTGACTTCGCGTAAACCATGACATATGACGTCTCAGGATCGAATATTTTAATCGAACTGTGAAGTTGTGTGTGACTATAATAATAATAGTATTCCACGACCTAAATTCAAGAGCTAGCTATGACGACCTGCGCCTAGTATTAAAGATAGGCTAATTTTAAACCTAAAGATCTTCATCTATATCTCTATTACAACTAGAGAAGTCTTTCCATAGAAGAAAGCCACATTTACTCTTCACTAACACATTTAACACAGACTGTAGCTCAAATGGGAAATTTGGACCTTAATTCTACGGAATCCCTCGAGGGTTTACAAAGCGATGAACAGAGGCGAGTCCTTGATACTGTGACCCAAGTCCGCAAATGCGGCCTTGATAGTATCCTTGCGTTACCTCAGCTGGTTGTCTGTGGCGACCAGTCTGCCGGAAAAAGTTCGGTTCTTGAAGCTCTCACCGAGATACCTGTCCCACGTAATGATGAGTTATGTACACGATTTGCAACGGAAATAATCATGCGTCGCTCCGCACAGGAGTCTCTTACCGTCAAAGTAATCCCTGACGCCGCACAACAATTACCAGGTCTCATAGACAATACTATGCAAGTCATGGGGATTACTACCACACAAGTATCCTCGCCTGCATTCGCCCGGGATGTCCTGAGTATCGAGATTGAAGGTCCCTCCAGGCCCCAACTTACAATGGTGGATCTTCCATGACTCATTCAAAACGAGAAAAAGGGAGTTACCAACGCGGATATCGAGCTTGTCAAAGAAATCACCGATCATTACATATCGCAGACACGAACGATCTGTTTAGCGGTTGTATCCGCTACGAATGACTACGCAAATCAAGGAATTCTGACAAAGGTCAGGAAAGTTGATCCAGAAGGGGAGCGGACCCTAGACATTATCACCAAACCCGACAGTCTCTCAAGTGGCTCGGGTGGTGAGATGGCTTACATTAGATTGGCACGAAACGAAGACATTTTCTTCAAGCTTGGATTGCACGTGATCAAGAACAGGAGTTTTGAGGAGGGAGATTGTAGTTTCGTGGAGCGAAACGCGTCTGAACCATCCATTTTCCGGAGCTCGAATTCCAAGAGCTTGGAAAAAGAGACAGTGGGTGTCAACGCACTGAGGGACCGTTTGAGTCAGCTTCTATTCAAACACGTCAAGCAAGAGCTTCCGAGGCTTTACAATGATCTACAAGTGGCTCTAAAAGAATCAAAGTATAGATTAGTTTTGCTTGGGCAGCAGAGAGCAACGCCTGCACAATGCAGAGCATACCTGATGCGACTTAGCCTTGACTTCCATCAAGTCTGCTTAGCCACAAACAAAGGACATTATGAGGGCATATATTTTGATGGCCCAATCAGCGATGAGTTCACTTCCAAATCGGAGCCCTGAGTACGTAGGCTACGGGCTCTGATTCAGAAATCGAACATAGTTCTCGAATTGGATGGATCAGAAAGGACATACGTACGACATGGACATTTCCAACGATGACATCGAGTCAGACTATGGACAACTTCCCCCAGCTTCTGACTCTGGAGATGTTGTCCCACTCTCTAGGGCGCAGGCGCTAGAATGGGTGAAAAGGCTTGTTGAAAGGAATGGGGGTCGAGAACTGCAAGGTAATTTCAACCCCCTGGTCATCGGAGAGCTTTTCTGGGATCAGTCAAGAAAATGGAGTAATATGGCCCTTACACACACGGAGGACATCTCGGAAATCTGCCGAACATTTCTATCGGACTTGCTTCAGCATATGTGCCCAGTGGATGTACGCAGTCGCCTCTGGGCATCGCATTTTGAGGAATCCCTGAAACAAATGATGGATAACTCAAGGAAGGAACTCGACCTGCTCATCGAAGATCTCAAAGGCTTTCCAATGAATTACAATCATTACTATACGGACACGATCTATAAGCGGAGACTGGAACGAGATCGTAAACTTCTGGCTGCAAGCATTGACAAGGCATCAGAACACAAAAGATTGCCTGAATGCCAATCGCACCATACATCGACAAAAGTAGATATCGCCAATGTCTTCGAGAATTTTCTCCGGGCTAAAAGCATGGACATGGATAGTCATGCATGCGAAGAAGCGATCGATGGAGTTATCGCCATCTACAAGGTCTGTAAAGCTCTGTAAAGCTCTGTATTGCCATTGCGCGTGTATACTCACATGTTATTCCACTCTCGGGTATTAAAAAAGCAATTCGTCGCAAACTTAACCGTATAGGTTATAGAACGTCATATCGTTCGTGGGGTGAAGAATATTTTCTCGCCTATGACGATCAGCGGCCTCAACGCAGGGGAACTTCAGGAGCTGGCATCTGAACCAACATCGGTCAAACGACAGAGGGAATTTTTTGTTGACCGTATGGATAACTTAACGGAAGGGAACGCTATTCTACGGCGAGTCATGCGAGGGTCATCTGGATGATTTTGTCAGTTTATTCAGGAGTAAGCGGGCGACGCACATTCTGACACGCTGGCATGCATGGTCAGCCTTCTATAAATATAACAGCTTGTGACTCTGCTCGAATCTCGCCGCAGGAGCAAAAATCCGTTCTCAGTTGATTCCATCAGAGACTCTCTAGATCAGACTCCACATTTGCCGTATTCATCGGGAAGTCCCATTCGAAGCTATCTGGTCAGAATCGACAGTTCCTTACTAGCTTCCAAGATGGCTCATCGCTCAGACGTGTTCACGTCGAACCCTACCACATTTCTTGTCGGCAAAGAAGAGGTCCCCATGGTCGTACATCATGGTGTCCTTGCTCCGTTGTCCGACTATTTTAAAAGACTTCTTGGCGATGATTCGGCATTCAAGGAGGCTGAGGAGAAAACGGTCCTTCTGCCACAAATCAAACCGGATGACTTTAGTCGCTTCTGCACATTCGCGTATACTGGCGATTATGCAGCACCACCATATGTCGTCGACGATGACTGGACCGAAGAGCTACAAACCACGCGTGTGGATATGGTTGCAGAAGCAATGAATGAGGTACAGGATGAAGCACACCGGGGGGGACCGAATTCACAGCGGAATTCCTGGTATATACCTCTGCGTCAACGGTGAGCAAGGGGAAGAGAACGACGAAGTACGCGGATGAGCCGACCGCTGCTCTCTATCAACCAGTGGTTGGAGAGCAGGACTTTCATGTCAGAAGACCAGATTTTGAGAGACGAGCATATTGTGCCACTACCCCGTACGAGGATTATCGCCAATCATTTCGTGTTGCTCCTCATAGTGCCGGAGCAGAAAAAGCAGAGCACGTCTTCCTTGCCCACGCGCGGCTCTACGCATTCGCCAAAGAGAAGATGGTGGACAGTCTTATCAGTCTCAGTCTTCAAAAGCTGCATAAGACTCTCGCAGTCTTTACCCTGGACCAAAGACGTTACCAAGATATTCTAGCGTTAACTCGATTTGCGTTTAGTGAGGATTATCCTGAGCTGCAGGATATGGTGGCGTTGTATCACGGTGCACATTTCACCAAGATTGGACGCTTTGAATCGTTCTACTCTATCTTGTGTGAAGAGGGACATCTTGGTGCAAACTTGTTGCGATTATTCTATGAGAATAAAAGACATTGATATGATAAAAGTCCGTTTCGCGGGCACAACTAGCACGTGGATAGGTGAGGCTATACGTGCCGTTGTACAGTTATATTATATGTGGTAAGCAGGCGATTTGTCTGTATAAAAAGCTGTCAAGACTTCAATCGTGCAGTGTCCAATTCAGTCAGTAAAAGCAATCTGGATTTGGATGAGTGACCAGAAAGCATTCCATTAGCTGCCGACGTCGGCGTGCAATTGCTTTCGCACTGAAACATCTTGGTGGATCTGAAGGGGAACGTTAAGGTGATTGAAATCATTGGTACGATCAATGAAATGCGTGACCCACCGTCCTTTTTCTTTGTCAAGGATATTGAACTTCTTGAACGTCTAGATAGTCATCTCTGCGTAGTTGTCGCCAGTATGGGAGCTGAAAGCCCCAGGTAAATCAATAGCGATATCTTCAAACTGGATGTTCTAACTTACAAAGTGAACACAGTATCCTGAAAGGGTGTATTGTCCATCTCGCATCGTCTAACCGTTTATGAGACATATATCTGTGGAATAGCTGACGGGCAAGACATCTGGGTCTTGCAGCACGTTCTCGATTATCTCGAACCAGTGTACGATCTTGTCATATATTGTCCTCATTGCGATTGCAGTCGATCGCTCGGACTCTTTCTCGCTTGGAGCTCTGGATGTCGCTTCTCGAAGGCCCGAGCCCAGTTCTTTCCTGGAGGTTTGATGGGTCGGTTCGCGGTGTCCCGCTGGGCAATACTGAAGGTGAGCGGTGGCGAGAACTTGATTCGCGCTGGACTACCTAGATCAGAAATATTTAGTAACTTAGTAAATTCACCGGTGCTTTCTTTTCGAACGTGTGGAGCTACTGCTGGCTACAGGCTCTCTGTTCCTTCGAGCGTCTCCCTATTACGCGATAGTGGAGACTAAGAGAGACTTTGCCATGCTCAGCCAGAGCAGTATATGTTCTAGGCACGTTAGGAAGACCTTCGGATAGCACTTGACTTGCTCGGTCCATGCTAGCATTCTGCTGGAGAGAGCATACACCGTGCTATCACGTTAGCTGTGTGAGTGCAGAAAGACAGCATGAAGGAGGAGAAGCGATGGGCTCGGACGCGCAGCGGCAAGCGGGGGAGCCAGAGACCCTGAGAAACCGCCGTTTCTGGCAGTCACACTTGAACGACCTGCAAACGTAATATTCGATTGGTTGAGGGCTGTTACAGTAACCCGACAGTCCGGTTTGGGACTCTGAGTCACATTCGTACATGCTGTGGTGTGAAAAGCGACCTCTGCGTCTGAAAACAGGAACCTGGAATCAAGGTCAACAGGTCATTTTTGGACCTACTGTACTGTACTCCATCCCTTGCATCGCCTAAATTTAGGATTACTGAAGGACGCGGCGATTGCCCAGGCTGAAGGCGTCAGTCCAGTCCAAAAATGCCATGGCGCGACCACAAGGCTTGTATGTGGAGCGCGTCCCTATAAGGCCTGACGGCTGAAAGCCTTTGTCACGTGAAGCTTCGATCATTGTTACTCTGCGTAAATTGGTTCTCATGACGTAGGTATATATATTCTAAAAACATACACCTTAGTATACAGTAGGATAGGTTCAGATTCTAGAGACTCTATTCCGAGAATCTCTTAAGTTTTCAGGCATTGTTGAGTTTATTCCAATGTACCAAGAACTATTTTCGCATCCCGTCGCACGGGTTTCTCGATGGGCAGGGGGTCGTCAAGTCCCATGCTTCATGGTCTTCTAAGACTAACATTACTCTGCTCAAGGCTTTCGGTAGCTTTTACAGGCTCTCCCGGCCCGACTTCCGGAATTTTTGGTAAAACTTGGCGGGGGCGGTTTCGTCCGTTTCGAGGACGCAGGGTAGGTCCCACCCTCTCCAACCCCACAGTTGATGTAGGCGACGATTGAGTCTCGGAAGCCTGTGCAAGATAGTCCGGGTCGATCGTGAGATGGAGCGTTTCTATCTCCCTAAGCAAACTCTCATTGTTCCTGGCGAGCGCAGCATTTGCCTCTTGAAGCTGCGCTACTTGAGAAACTAGTTCACCCGTGGCATCGCGAAGTTGGCTGTAAAAGTGTTGCAAAGTTGTACGAACCGGAAGCCAGCTCTGCTGAACCTCGCGATCGATACGAATGAATGCATCATGGAGCTGCACTGTTATCAGTTCCATAGCGTTCTTCACAATCTTTAGCTTACCATGTCTGTCACCTCTGATTCTGGCAGCATGGTTTGTAGAGCTACTGGTAGACAGTCCCGCCTGGATAAATCTAAGAGTTTGGTATCGTGAATCTCATCATGTGTTCTTTGTGCTTCATTTATATACGTCCTCGACTCATCCACCTTTTCCAGCGGTTCTATCGTCTGACTCTACGTCGCAGCGTGCCAAGTAGTCGTACTCACCTCCTCCTTGCTTGAAAAGTCTACAGGATTATGCGTGGTGCCAAAGATCATCTTTGCATAAACTCCCTGCGCCCTCCTAAGGGCGTTGACTTTCAGCTATTTAGTAGGCCGGCCCTGGTTTCCAGTTCATGGATAGCAAGTGCCGTGAGGGCTTCGTTTCGGGTTCAAGAAAGCGGGCACTCCCACAGATCCACCAGCAGAAGACTAGCCTGCCTGTCCGGGCATTCACGGTTTCTAGATACGGATTTACAGCATCAATACAGCAGAGAAGTGTGAGTCGCGCAGAATCACCCATACGACAGTGCTTAAGTCGTTCTCTAGGATGTCGATAAGAGAGCACCCCGACGAGGCCATTACTCGAGCCAGCGTAGAGCTTTACAAAGCAAGCCTATGTATTCAAAATTGTCGTACATCCATTCTCCAGTTGCTCACCATTCGAAAAGAAGAGAAAAGAAGTCGAATGCAAGTAGACCGAGAGAACCGACGCCTTCACGTCCTTTGCCAGGAGGCTGTGCACGACCGCAACGAGATCGCCAGCAAATGCCAAAGCCTATACCGCGAGCTAGGAGATGCCTATACGGAGATTCTCTCTCACTATGCCTTGTCTGAGAATTCGGATCAAGCATCGATGACCGTGAAGGATGGGACGCGGATGACACAACTTGAACGAGAAAACGACAAGTTGCAACGACAGAACAGTGAGCTCCAGCGGGCATTGGGAATGGCGGGCGATATGATCCGCGCTGTGAGAATCCAGGATCCAGCTTCAGAGACTCATGGTGACATCCAAGTGCAGCTATAGCAATGCCTTGATTCGGTCCACGGTCCCGATTTTGTGCATTCCATTTTCAAACGTTTCCATTCGAGTCATCATACCTGTTATATGTAGGACTCGTGCTACATCTCTATGCCATAAATTTCATCTCTAGCATTAGCTGTTCGCTTCACCCGATATGGGATTGTTCAGGTCCAAGAAGCCACCCACTTTCCCGCCTATCTCTTACCCCAAGCCGGCTGATCCTCCGTCCGTAGAAACAACAACAAAGCAGCCTAGAAAGCGTAGGCTAGACACAAACAAGAATTTGCCGGTACCAAGACTTGCACAGATGATTGAGAGGAAGATGTCTGAGAACTTCCAGCTAAGAGAAGAGTTGCAGTGGGAGCGAGACCGCTTCTGGTCAAGCTGCCAGGCAAAATCATTCCTTGCAGCAGAGGTTCAAGCCGTGGTAGAGAACCTTCGTCAGATCCTAGCCGACTTCGACCGGCTTGTCACACCAGAAGATGCTCTGAGCCAGCCTAGAGACTTGCCTCGGAGCGAGAGCAATGGATGGGAACCCGGACTAAATTAAGTTGATCAGAGTACATGCGTGTTGCTCAGGTCTTACTTAGCTAGACTAGACAGGACCGTCAAATCAACTTTGTCATGCTTTACTCTACAGACGTTCCCACATTGAAAGGGCGCAGGCTCCACGTGCCCAACGCTGCGTGGCATTTCGCTGACAAACTGCATTATACCTTGCAGTGATGACGGCGCACAGCAAGCTCTTCACTCTCCTGCCTAGTAAGATATGGGTCTGCGAGCCGCTGCGTGAACCGTTGAGCAAGGATAACCTGCGCTTTGTGCGGAAAGTTACTTGCGTATTCGTTTCCATTGGTCTACATAAGTCCGTCATGGTTAAGTAGCATCATGTACGTGTCGTCGTATTGTTAGTATAGCCAAGGCGACTGACATGGTTTGGCTCAGATACAGATCCCGAGATAGCTTAGCAGAATCTATGCCTCAGCATGGCTTAGACGATTGGAGAGCGGCGATGACTTGGTGGATCTCATGGCTCAGTATCATGGGTCCAACGGCTCAGTATCTAGACGGCTCCACTAACCCTGTAAATCCTGGAGCCTAGTATATCTTGCTACGGTGTAGATACAATTTACTGTAAAGCGTCTTAGGCCTTCGCTTATAATACAGCATAGCATAGTGGTATTCTTTCATGGTTGATAGACGTCATGTCAACATTTCACTTCTCTGTTTCAAGTAGGTGGTGGACGAGACCGGAGGCGGATTCATACTCTACTGACTATGTATCTAGGTGAGCAGTTTGGCAGCTCATCTTGCCAGTGGCCCGAGAATCAAACCTCCAGTCCGTATACTGTCACCTACCGAAACTCGCAGCTTAATCTTTATGGCCGTTCTATTTGTTCATTGCCACATGGTATAGGAACAGACAGAAATAGCTCACGATTTGGCGGGAATCTGATACGTAATGGATACTTTCTGCGACGAGCCTGTCATGCAGCAACCACTGGCACTGTTGCTGCCTGTTCCGCAAGCGCAAGCAGGGCCGGGCTCTTCTTCTAGAGCTTCCTCTTACTGTACTCCTCTTCCATTCCGCACCTGGCCCTGCGCTCATCGCGGCTTCAGGGGACAAGTGGCCCGCAAGCCTGCCAGGTAATAGCCGGCCCCCTACCCGGCTGACCCTGGCTAATTCTGGGCTGACGGCTTCTAGCTGCCTTTTAGCTGTCACTTACCGTGATCTCCAACAAGTCTCAACCATTAGGTCCCAGACTCCATGGACGGAGTAAGAAATGGTCTAATCAGAGAATTCGACAGCCGCATGGCCAACATTGTATGATTGATTCTGAATCTGCATTCTGGCCTGTGAAACTCAAACATTTATGGACCGGATCGGTGCTCAATGAAAGCTCAGGGGTGAAGTTGCTCCTCATCGTCCTTGCTCTACGACTCGGTCGAGGGCACGCGATCTTAGGAGGTCTTATGCGGTGCTTATATCCATCACACTTCCTATTCGTACGTGTTACAGAGTAGAGTCACGACCCCCATTCTCAACACCTCTTCACGTAACGAACTCTTATTGGAACTCTTCAACAATTCCCGGGGATGCTGGGCCCGGAGACGGATATCGCATCATCGAATGAGAATCGCCATGGCTTGGAGTCACATCATCGACTGTGGAACATGATTCGCGAGCCTTGTGATCATCGCGACAGGTCTGGCATGGAAGACTCCTGTAGAAAGCTATATCTACCGCAATACGAAAGTCATTACACTCGCAGCCTATGGAGAATGCCGCCTTGCTCTGTTCAGATTCTTCAGCACCCATGAGCGCGGAATTCTCTAGATTGCATGGTACTGAGCTCTTTCCGTCGGGAGCGCCAGCCATATTAGTTCGTCTGCAAAAAATCGAAACCATTTACTTGTTTGACACTCACCTGTGTGAGGAAGGGTCTGTACGCAGTTGTAATCTCATTGAATAATCAAGTGCCAAAAGGACTCTTACTACATTCAATCTGCAGATCCAAGGTCGCGCCCAGGGGATCTAACTCGCCGTAAACCGAAGGATCATAGTTCCCCAATACCAGCACATCCAAGAGCCCTACAAATTTCATGAATGAACATGAAAAGGAATACCAAAACTGGCGCAAGGCAGCCCGTCGTGGATGTCCAAATTTCCCCTGGCCTCGCATTGCCTCACTTCAAGCCGTCCAAGGACTCTAACAGCCTCCCAAGAATAACCTGTCAGACTCTGATCGAGACTCTGAATGACAGATATAGCGACAGTCTCCGGAAATCAATGGTCATTGATTGCCGATCTGAGTATGAATACGACGGCGGTCACATCCCTAGTGCTGTGAACTTTTATGAGAAGGAGCAGCTTCTACAGTTCTTGTTCAAGTCCGCAGAGTCACAGGAGTTGGGCTGTCTAAGAAGAAAGAGGTCTCTACGGGCTTATTCTTCCCAGCTCCGGCGGTGACCAGGACTTGAGTAGGCGAGGAAGGTTCTGTAATCTGAGAAAGAAGAAGTGTGCCTTGACCTATATGACCCTGAAATGAGATGCCGAAAGCCACCGTCACGACTGCAAGTTCTCCAGTGTCCACGTCTGTGGTCTGCATGGCAACTAGCGGGATGGTCGAGGAACAACGGGGCAAGTATCAACCTGCCTGATATACTGCGTAGGACAGACTTAGCACGGCAAGGACCAAAAACGGGCTGAGCTGTTCTTAGGTCCTCAGATAGTAAAGCAGTCCCGAACCGTTTCTTCTCTTCTTTTCATATTAAGGTATGTTCTGAAATTAAAAAAAAGTGGTCTTGCATTCTGCTAGCTCGAGTCTTGCACTCTGCCCCGACCTCCACGACCAACGACGGACGCCTATACGCGCCACGAAGACATCTGACACATCACGATGGCTTCAGGAGTACCCTAAAGACGTATCCAGCTGGATGCTCACACACCTCCCCCTTCCCCAATTCTAATGGACCCGGATACACATGCTGGGAACACTTCGGGAGGATCCCTATCCATTCAGTCAAGGGCAGCCCTTGACTAATGATCCCGCACACACACGCGCGGCCTGAAGGCAATACAACGGTACCCAGACTTCGGCATATACAATCGGATACAATCCGAGGGCCTAGATTAGGATCGTATGATTAGTCACCCTAAAAGTACGGATTGAGCTTGGAAATGCTAAGGGATTGAGATTGCTTATGTTAAATTGAATCGCTTGTACTATATAAGATTACCCAATTAGGCAGCTATTATTAGGTATATATTCGACAAATAAAAGTATATATAGGGCCTTAAGTTACCCGTCTCCGCGTACATAACCTCCCTGAGGTTATAGGGTTACGTATATATGAGGAACTTACTTCTAGAACCTTACTAAAATCGACTAATATATACACGCCCCACATGTTCAATCTAACACAGGCAATCTGACTAATCGGATAAGATTGTGCCGTCTTGGCCATCATATTTAAGGCGTAGATTGAGCTTGTATTCTCTACTAGAATATTTGAGCAGATTGAGCTTGCATGGATTCGGATTGTATGTGCCGAAGTCTGAACCTGATACTCGATATCCACGCCTTGCACTCTGGAATCCACAACCTCCTCCACTTCCCAGTGGCCATCAGGACTGTTCGAATTCCAAACCACCCCAGGTGGCACAGTCTTTGCCTTAGGGTAGGCTGCCTCAAGCCAGTGTCGTTTATGCAGCCTGGTAGCGTGACAGTTGTGCAGATTTTGGCCACGACTTCCATTCCCGGTCTTGGGAGTGTGTCACAGCACTATGTCTCCCCTATAGTCTCACAATACTATTAGCCATAATCACAACGTAAGTTTGAGCCCTAGCTCCAGCGGAGACCATGTACATCACCCACTTCTTCCTGCTGTTAGGCGAGATCATATTGATGATCTTTTGGTACCGAGCACGCGGACAGGGCCAACAGAGTGAGTCAAAGCATCATTGACCTCCGGGAATTCAAATGATCGTGCCGTCAATCAATGCCACACGAAATCGACGATCGTCGGATGAGCGGAGTGAGCTTCATGTACAGAGGCACATTTCTCACTTCGTCTATTCCTCCTCTAACTTAATTCACAAGTCGTGTCTAACACGTCGTTCTCTCCGATTTCTGGAGTCATCACAATAAGAGCGATGAGGGGGGACTGAGATTAAATTGTTGAATAACTTCTCCGGCCAATGCAGATCCTACTTATTGCCGTCGAAGGGCTCGTGGATTCCATTACATAGGTAATAGCCTGTGCTAAATCGATAACTTGTCGTTTTCTTCTTCTTACGGGTGTTCTCGTCTTTACTAACGCAGTGTCTAAACACCGTCACGATAATCTTCATAGCCTCCTCGGTAGGCTTCGCTTTCTGAACAGCAGTAATAAAATTATTCCATTGCTTTGCGCTCAACATGTCCGACCGAAGGCTCTCCACAAACGCCACAATGTCTGCATCACCCATTTCCTGAATTTCGTCGTTGTCAAGCACAAGCCATGGCAGGTAGAGACTATTGCTACTTGGCACCAGGTGTGACCCAAAGTGTCGTAGATAGCGATTCTCCTTCCGAAACTGCTTAGAACACTGCGACCAGCCAGTATTTGTCTCCACAGGTATCTCGCACACGTAGCTAGTAGTCGCTCTCTGCCGTCGATGGTGCGTCTGTACTGCGACTGAATGAGACGCTGGCGGGTAATTGGCCAAAGGCATATTCCAATCCACATTGAATTGAACGCTTGTCGCTGGATTGCCGCTAATTTGACCCGTCCAATCGCTGCCCTAGGTCAACTGATGCGTCCGATACTGGGTTCTATGGATCTTCGGCTACTGACATATCTGGGTAGTAGGAGCCACAGACCTCGTTCGAAGTCCTAGAAGGCAACCCGGAATAATTGAGCTGCTGGGGTATGTAGATAGCATAGGGGTCATCTGAGAGGACTTCACACTCTGTTTCTGCTCCTAGGGAAGTCGCTGACAATGGTTCGAGAGGCGTTTGCGACTGCATCTTGCTGTCAAGGCGGACGCTAGAAAGTCAGTACCCTCCAGATTTCTGCCGGGCGTAAGTACAACTAAAAGTGCTTTAAATACTAAGTTTCGAAAATACTGATGTCCGGAAGAGGCAGTCTGAAAAGGCGCAGGCCCCACATGCCGACGCTGTGTGCCATTTCGCTGATGTATCGTACTAGGTATAAGTTGATTGATCCCTGCAGTGATGAGAGCTACAGGGCGCGCAGGAAGCGTCTCTGTAAGGCTCAGTAAGTAGGCAACCGGTGGACCGACTTCTAGGCGAGTCTTCATTATTTTACGGCACTGTGACAAGATCTACTAATTAAGCTGGTCAGCACTGGTCCAGGATTCTAGACTGCCAAGACCTTGGCGAGTAAACAATGACGCCAGTATGCACTATAACAGAAGACTCAGTAAAGATGCCTGGGCCCTTCTCAGACATTTTAAGTCCCGATTGTGATTATTTGTGCCTGGAATGCGGACCATTCTGCACCATTCACACCTAGGGAAACGATTGCGCTACACGAGCATCATGTCTCAAGCAAGCTCGCAAGATGGTAACAAGTATCTGATCGGCCACTAGGGTACCCTTTGCTTCTCTGACACGTTCTACTAGATTCTCCTATGAAACTCGCGTGTTTTGGTGGTACCTGTGCATGTTTCCCGTGTCAACCCCAAACCTTAAGACCGGCACCAGGGCTATCAGGTCTGCGTAGAGCTCTGTATTGTTCAGTCGCGGGAAGAACAGTCCTCGTGTATCTTGAACGAGATGGGTGCGGAAATGTGCATCTACACCGCAAGAGGATATACTAGGCTTCAGGATCTACAGGGTTAGTGGAGCCGTCTAGATACTGAGCTGTTAAACCCACGATACTGAGCCATGAGATCCACCAGGTCATCGCCGCTCTCCAATCGGCTAGGCCATGCTGAGCCATAAATTCCGCTAAGCTATAATACTCTTTTCCTATAGTGCCGCTTTGTTCAGCCATGGCTCTGCCAAAGCCTCTTGACTCATTGCAGATAAGTAAGCCTATACTGGGACAGTGTATATGTGCTTTTAGTCTCCCAGGAGCCTCCCCTCCGGTCTACTAGGCCAATGGAGATGAATACGCAACTATGCTCGCAACAGAGCGCTTCATGCTGGAGTCACGACCACTGGTATGGATATCATATATCTCTAGCGTATGGCTCATGCGAGACTGTCCATTCGACCGCGCCGCAGTCACTCGAAAGAATAGAGTACTCCACTGCCAACCCTTCAAAGCCTCAATATTCTTCATATCTAATAAGGCAGACGCCTGTGGGAGACACGACAAAGGAGAATCAGTCTTGTAAGATTGCGAAAGATTGCAAGAACTTTCCGCACAAAGCGCAGGCTATCCTTGCTCAACAATTCACGCAGCGGCTCGCAGACCCATATCTTACTAGGCAGGAGAGTCAAGAGCTTGCTGCGCTCACCGATCTAAGTGTCCGTCAAGTACAAGTATATTTCGCTAATGCTCGTGCGAGGAAGCTCTGTCGAGGACAAGCAAAAGCATCTGCAGGTACCAAGAGTGTCAAAAAAGCGTAGACTGAAGACGTCGCAGCGCATTCAGCCTGATCTTACCGCATCGCTACTCCGGACGCCGTCTTCTCCCGATCACATCTTCCAGTGCACTTTCTGTGTGCAGGACTTCAAGCGCAGGTATGACTGGGAGAGACATGAGCAAACTATACATCTCCGCCTGCAGCAGTGGATCTGCATGCCCGAAAAGGCTGTAACATCTCCATCAATCGCGAAGAAGACTCAGTGTGTATTTGGTGGAATGAACAGCCCCACGTCTTTGCATCTACAGTCACACGACCTGTGTCAATGTATCAAGAAGGAAGAATCAAGACGTACGTTCACCAGGAAAGACAAATT